CGCAGGTTACTGCCGGGATGGTAGATGCAGGGAAGGAGATAAAAGTGCCGGAGTCTGCTACGGACCCGTGCGCTCGTTTCAATAATTCGGGGCCCGCTGTCCGCACGCACGTCCGCAGGATATGTTTGCGAAAGCCGCGGGTGGTTTTCATGTCGCCCAGAGTGTTGTGTGTGTGTGCCTGTACGCTGACCGGCGTTGAGCGGCAGTGCAGCGGTTAGCGCTACGCTGCGGCTACGAACCCGGTGACCTGGCTTCGATTCCCGCTCGCGGCCAACACCGGTGACGATTATTTGAACCGTTCCTGGACCTCCCCTAGGTTGACTCAGCCTCAAATGAGTACCTGGTGCGATGCATAAACATCGCCACTGGGGAGACAAAGGTGGCCGGGCTTGGTGATGACCAGCCACCCCCTCGTGTACCGTGCCGGCCTTTATAGGTGCTTGCTTCACAGCACTTGCCCCAACAGTCTGTTACAGGCTATACGGGGGATCTTTGTCTTTATTAGCGTTTCAAATTGTGGCAACCGCACCTTTTGGGAGTTAATAATTGTTGACACTACCGTGTCTCTCTGATTATATCTTGCAGTAGAGTATTTGGCAATCGATACTTAAATTAAATGTCCAAAATATCACTGCTGGATCACGTGAGATGTTTGCAAAGTGATTTTTTTTTACAACAGCTTATTCTCCCCTCCCTGGAAATACCCTCACGTCACGGTGTTCTATTTTATGCACACCTCACTCATAGGCTCATTAATGGTGTAAAATGCAGTCTCCAACTGTTATCAACCTGATCTCGCTGGCCTCTCCATGTGCTTTAAAGAAGGCCCATTGCCCGAAACGTTGCCTATTATATACCCTTTCCTTTGAAGGACACGGTGCTATTGACAAAGGTGTTGAGTTTCACGTACAATAGAACCCCTGTTAACAATCACCCTTGTTAACGACCCATCGCTTAACGTCGGGCCTCCATAGAGCCCAATGTGTAGTGTATATTGTAGTGTATAGTAGTGTTGTGTATAGTATAGTGTATAGTAGTGTAGTGTATATTGTAGTGTATAGTAGTGTAGTGCCTCCATAGAGCCCAATGTGTAGTGTATAGTAGTGTGGTGTATATTGTAGTGTATAGTGGTGTAGTGTATAGTGTAGTTCCTCCATAGAGCCCAATGTGTAGTGTATAGTAGTGTAGTGTATAGTGTAGTGTATATTGTAGTGTATAGTAGTGTAGTGTATAGTAGTGTTGTGTATAGTATAGTAGTGTAGTGTATATTGTAGTGTATAGTAGTGTAGTGTATAGTAGTGTAGTGTATATTGTAGTGTATAGTGTAGTGTATATTGTAGTGTAGTGTATATTGTAGTGTATAGTGGTGTAGTGTATAGTGTAGTGTAGTGCCTCCATAGAGCCCAATGTGTTCGTTTACCGACCATTCCACTGTTAACGACAGGCTGTTGTAGGTAATATTATTAAATGCATTGGTTAACCATGTTTCTTTTAATGTGTTTATAATGTTGTTGGTATCTTTATGTATTCATATCCATTGTTTATAAATATTATAAAGTACGTTTTTTGGGTGAGAAGGGTAACTTTTGATGCTATCGGAACGAATTAAGCCTTTAACGTGTATTTCCTATACTCGCTTAACGACCAAATCACTTAACGCCCGGTTTCATGGAACCAATAGCCATCGTTAAGATGGGTTCTATTGTACAGTACCTTATATATTTTTTATTTGTCGCCAGTTATCTTTTTGTGGAGAGGTGGCATTGTGGTTAACGCACTGCTCTCTGAACCTGGCCTGTGTAATTCCTTCACACCCATACGTGGCCTTAATTGTGAAGTATGACCAACCACTCCCATGGATGACGTGGCACGGGGGATGCCTTTATCTAGCAATGGATTGACAAAGGTCTGTGAAATGCCTTACAATATATTTAGTTTAATATTCCATGTTTTGCCATGTCAAAGACCGAGGTTAACTTAAGCATAACCTTGAATCGATAAGCACCCGTTATTTGTTTTCGATGCCACTGAACAATTTAAATCAAAACATGAACCTAAAGAAACATTGTTTGCCATTTCCGAACCATCAAAATGTATTGCCGCTTCCAAAAGCTGGCTTCAACCTTTTGAAATAACACAACTTAATACACGCACATATGCAGCTGAGTAATATAATTCATATGGGCACCAACACAGCCACCAACAGTGAGTGAGTCACCAATTATTCAGTTGTGCTCTGTGGGTGTAATGAACAGGCCCGGGCATGCTGCGAAACAGCTGCCTCTGCCTACAGAAAGGTGAAATGTGAATCAGTAGAAAATATGCTAATATATATAAAAGGGAAATTTGTGAATGTGTATCTGTTCAAAATGTTTAGCGTACTTCCCGACATGCAACAAACTTGAAATTTGCCATGTGGGTACTTTCCAGACTGTACACCATGCAAAAATTATAAAAATAGACTTTTGTCTTTTTTTGAGGGGGGGAGCGCAATAATGCATATATTTTGCACGGCAAGTGAGCTGTGACGTCACATCTCTGTCATGTCACCCGCATGCGGAAGCGTCACGCAGTGTGCCTGCTGATGTCACGCATCCCTCCCCCAGCCCTCCGCGAGTAAAGTGAAATACAAATGTGTTGCAGGTCTAAGGCGTTCTTCGCGCAGCATTGCTGCTTTATTATTTCAGTCGTTTACTGCCGTACGCACCCTGAAAGTTGTGTGTATCTGCAGCAAGCGCGTGTATGTGTACCTATGGACGCACGCGTGTGTTGTGTGTGGGGGGAGCGGTAGTGTAGTGGTTAGCGCGCTGCGCTACGAACCTGGCGACCCGAGTTCGATTCCCGCTCACGGCCACCACCGGTGACGATTATTTGAACTGGGCCTCCCCTAGGTCGACTCAGCCTCAAACGAGTATCTCGTGTGGTGTGTGAACATCGCCACTGGGGAGACAAAGGCGGCCGGGCGTGGTGAATCCAAGTCCCGGGCGAAGCCGGGTAGTAAAGCTAGTAACATATATATATAACGGTACAGGAGCAGCAATCATAATTTACAGACGTTTGTCAATCTGCTGTTGTATTAAGGCCTCCCCCGCAGGGTCGTGTTAGTCACGGGAGTCGTTTGACCATGCTTCACCACGCCGGTCAGTGTGGCTTGGTGAAGGTGATGGTGGGGGCCGCTATAACCGGTTCAGATATCGCTCGTTGCTGATGTTAGCCATGGCCGGAAATGAAACTCAGATCGCTGGGCTCATAGTGAAGTGCATTGCCTGCTGTGCCACTTGTTCCACCCCAGATAATATACGCATCATTATTATATGTAATCCTCAGTTCAATGATTAAACTGAGAATACAGGAATAAAATTTCGTGTCTAAGAATCAATGGATTCGTATCACCGCTTGCAGCCACTAGATGCGTCACCATTCACAATTTTAAAACAAGAATAAAAAAATTGTTTTGAATAATGATCCTAAATTCATTGAATTGCTGGGTGGATGGGGATGTGTGGTGCAGTGGGTGGGGGAGAGTGGGGAGGGCACAGTCAGAGGTTAATCCTACCACCCCAAGTATACAATGTCTAATATCACTTCAACATGATCTAGCATGTATTCGGTGTGACAAATAACATTGCATTGCCAGCAACTCTTATATAACCAATGTGACAGGAGAGCTGAGGGCTACCGCGTATTGCGATGGAGACATAGCTAAACACAAGTTCAGATTTTGTTCACGGTGGAATCAATCCCTCAATGTGATATTTTGCGCTGGCTTTGACAATTTGTTATTGATGCTGATGAACAACCGAACTTCTCTTCTCGATCACTTAGCTCCATGCGTTGAGGTCTAAAAAGTGCTGTACTGTTGTCACTGTTGTGACAGTACCACCCCATCACGGAGATGGAGCAATGTGATTAGCTCGTGAGCAGGGGATGGACTTGTCATCGCGAGTAATATCTACAATGAAAGGAAGAGGGATACACGTGTTAGACAACATACACAAGTCGAAGGCCATCACATGGACTGACGACTTTATTAAACAGTGGATAGGTCAAGGCTTCATATTCTTGGGTTTTTTCGGTAAAGTCACGTAGGTAAAAAATTTAAATTAATAAAAGTAAAATAAAATAAAAATCACGACGTTTCGGAGGCAACACAAGCTTCCACCTGAAGACGGAAGCTTGTGTTGCCTCCGAAACGTCGTGAGTTTTTATTTTATTTTTATTTTACTTTTATTAATTTTAATTTTTTACCTACGTGACTTTACCGAAAAAAAAACAAGAATATGAATCCTTTCAGTCACGAAAGCTTCAAATCTAGAATAGATCAAGGCTGTTGCTGCTGCTGCTGATGATGATAATGATTGCAATAGGCATCCTGTCTGTCAATCCGCTCACCCCTTCTCCTCGATGTGCGAGACGGAACTGGGTCTGGCAGAGCAGGCTGACCGGAACTCTGTGTGCCGGTCCACATCCCGTCTCCACATACGCGGACGCTGAAAAAAAAAACACGTTCATCCTGCTGCATTCAATGTTTGCACTAACAAGTAGAGTGTCCTATTACTCGAAGAGGATTTCAGTAAAAGAAGAAAAAATAAATCCGAGCGTGTTTGCATCGCGAGTAATTAGAGCGACGGAGATGTACTTGCCGGGATGCGATGTTTGCCTTTCGGTTTTCCTGCAACTGTGCCATAGATGTATGCACTTTATCCCTAACTGTGACATGACGCAGATTGTCCACTCGTGCTACAAATGCCATTATCAACAACAGGCAGACGCCGCCGTCGCCGTCGCCGCCGCCCCTGAGAAAGCTCTCGGGGAGCTTGGTGGCAGAGCATTTGTGGCTGTGAAAATTGCCGTTTGTGAACTGTGATGGGTGGTTTTATTTTCATGCCAGAAAATCGCCGGTACACGGGTAATCAATATTGGAGAAAATAAGTCTAACACTCATTTGTAAATTGCATTGTGATGTGGGGCGCGGGTTGGGCCTGTGCGTTGTGTTCCAGTGTCCATTTGCTGCTGCGTGTTCATTCTCTTCCTCTTCCTCTCCGAACTCTCGGGGTTCATCACCACTGAAATGTAAGTTGTTGATGCACACGTTGATGCTGTCTTTGGCACCGTTAATGGACTATAATTTAATTTATACCAAGGGAGAGACAGGCTACGACCAAATGACCTTCGCATTACTCAGAATGTACCTGGTAGCATCAGATCTTGGACGCGCAGCAGGATATTGATCCTGGTTAATAGTTGGATGGGTGACCCCTACCAGGGCTTGCCAGGAGTTGTAGGCGTGGGAGCTGTGAAGTGTGGCCAGGAGATGGCAGTGCTAATTGCCTCCCCCCTCGAATGCGTGGCCGGTTTTTTTCCGGGTTCTCCTATCCTCTCCCACATGAATGCAAATGCTCATTCATGGGACTGGCCAAAGTTCCTAATGCAAGGATTGTCTTTCAAAGAGGATTCAGATTCAGCGGTGCTTTCCTGAGTAAGGAACTACCATTTTATTGGGTGAAGTCCATTTATAGATACCCCACTGTCTTTTAAAGTCCCTTTTTAGGAGAGTGGAAATAGTACTAGGAGAGTGGAAAAAGATGCCATGAGTGTATTGAGATTGGATGGGGGACATGCAGAAAAGCTTGAATACAAATGTTATATGACTCACATCTTGAAATTTTTTGGCCAAAACTGAAAATGTTAAATTATTTTTTTTGACTCTGCAGAATTGATTTTTTCTCTTGGTGTTAAAGTGCAAAATGTGCTGACGTGGAATAAACCCACTGTTTTTGTGGTAAATGATTCACTCGTGCAGTCTCACTCTCGCCTCTTTTATTGGCATTTCCTCGGGAATATTTTATGCTGTCCGTGTTGATGGGCGTATTTGTTGTTGTTTTATGTTGCCGTGTTGTGTTCACAGCGTTAGTGAGCTCTACGTGGATAACCCGGAAAAAGACAGCACGGGAAAAATAGAAGTTAAGCTGAACATCAGCCTCCTGAATTTACAATGCGATGGTCAGTAATAATGCACCGGTGCATGCTTATATATGTACATACATGCATCCACCAGAAGGTGCATCGCAAGATGCACGTCATCTCGGTGCATCCTAAACCGCATCCGCACAAACCATGGCAAATGCGGATACCTGATGCACAAATAAAACATTTTAAACTATCCAGTTTGCGAATGTGATCATCCAGAACAGGCCGTACAACGTACAGTGACACAATGCCCGATCCACCGATGCGACGGAGATATCACAGCGACGCACTCCGCTGCTCCGAACGCGGTTATCTGGCTTGACCACCTGAATGTAAAAATGTAGTTGTTGCTCTGCATCTACATCAGCCATCCGAAACAAGAAGAAGATTTCAAGACGCAATAAGAAAGATATTAAGAAAAGGTAAAGGGGCAGCCCTGCAATTGCTTGCTCACGCCACTGCTAGCGGACGGGCCTTCAATACGGGGAGCTCAAGAGTACTCCTATAGATGAGGGTATTTTGCTCCCGACTCAAACACGCTGTCCAGAAGTCTTAGAAGAGGGTGAGAGTACCCACGCTTTAACCCACCACACATGGCCTGCCTTGTTCACTGACTGCGGTGTATACACTGGGAGATTATGCCGGCGAACTCCACATTTAGACAACGGCAGAGCAAGAGAACGTAGTGCCACGTGCCATTACCATTCGCAACGACTGCTTGTAAAATAGCCATGTAATGCCTTAATGGAGCCACCACGTGGAATGCTTTTGAATGCAAAACAAACAGAGCCACCTTGTAAACGAGCTTTTTTTGTAGTTCAATGGACTACTCTGTATACAGTTACTCAATTGAACGTGAACAAGGACTTCTTGTAAAACTACACACACGATTCAGCTTAATGGGGGCACACACAAGCTCTCTCTTATCTGCAGTGGCACCACTACTTGTGTATCCCTAAGGATATCTTAATCGATATGAATGACATTCACTCGGTATACAAATATAGTAAGAGTAAATGTCCTTTACACAAAACTCATTGGGTGTCAAAACTCAATGTTTTTTCATGAGGGTGCTGATTTGGAACGTTTGCCCAATTACATTTTTCACGAGTGTTTGGCTCCATTTGAGAAGAAATTTGAGTACCAATAGAATGCTCGCGGATTTGAGAGAGTAATGCTCAAAGCGCCGGACGGATGGATTCATTACGTCCTCGCTGCAACGGCCATCTCCTGGCTATATTCTAGCCGATACCTACTCTGAAAAGCATTGCGTGGTGCGTGGATCAGATGCATGCATGTATGTAGAACTTCTTTCACACCGTACATAGCCAACCATGCTAGGGACACAAGATGAAGCCAAGTAAAAACTAAAAATATCGGGCTTCATGTAAACGCACTGCTCATGAAACTTTCAGGCAAAATAAAGCTGGATAACAATTGTGCCTATTAGTGCAAATTTTTGGGGTTTTTTGGATTGTGGTTCAACGCATATATTCCACAATTTTAACTTCCACATTTGTCTTTATAGCCCTTCTAAAACATAATTAGAAATTAAATAATTTGCCTACTCAGTGAGTTATGATTGTCGACTGGATTTGTTTAATTCAGGAACTTTATTTGAATGTTAGCGTGTTGCACATTGAACAGAGGAGGCGTAGAGTTTGGCAAATCACCATTGTGTCTGTATTTAAAGAAGGCCTATTATAGGAAACATTATTTTTAGTGCCTTGGAATGTTTTGACAATTACGTTGTGATTCAGACACTAGAATACTTTTATAAATTGGCACATAGCTGAACTTACGTAATAGACACAAAATAACTTAAATGGTTGACGAAACATTTAAGTAATGTGCAGAAAATAGCAGTCATCTCATAAGCATAATCCAAATTGATGATGTCATATTCATAAAAAAATATATTAAACCAGTCTTTGCACCTCCACTAATGAATTGTGTGATGATAAAAATATATTATTGGGCCTTCTTAGCTAGTTATCACGACGTCGCTTAAAAAAACAGAAACCAAACTTTGAAAGGCGATAACACACAACACTCAAGCTAAACAATGACAGCTGTTTAAATAAAGGCATCACAAGACAGACCTAAATGTTGGGAATCTTGGGCTGTGAGTTGACAGCTCTGATCTGGCATGTGGGCACAATGACAAAGATCCCCCATATAGCCTTGACAGACTGTTAAGGCAAGTGCTGTTATCAAGCACCAATGAAGGCTAGATTGGCACACGAGGGGGTGGGTGACCAGCACCACACCCGGTCGCCTTTGTCTCATTCGTGTCGATGTTTACACACGATACAAGGTACTCATTTGAGTCGACCTAGGTGAGGCTCCGGACCGGTTCAGATAATCGTCGCTGGTGTTGGCCTTGAGCACGAATGGAACTCAGGTGGCCGGGTTCGTAGCGCAGCGCGCTAACTGCGACAATACCGCTCCCTTTGTGGGCACGCCAACAACGTGTACACACGCGGCAAGCAGAGGCCTGCTCGCAGGCAAAGCGCCGAACCCATTCCAATTCCACAGAAAGTGATCTCCCCCCCGCCCTGCTGCAAACAGAGCGTGAATCTTCTGACAGTGACACACCGTGCCTTAAATAGCTTCGGATGACTCGACGTGTTTCGGCACAATTAAAGAATTCTTTTGCAGCTGCACCCAGCGCTGCTGTGCCTTCCGGGGTACCACAGACTGACAAGTTGAGAGGCTGGGAAAGGACTCAGAATAGACCTCTGCTTCACTCACTCTTGTTCGTGGGCTGTGACTAGTCGTGGCTCTGTGAGAAGCACTAGGTTTGTTCACCAGTTGTCGAGTTGTCGATAACCATGTACAGAGACCCTATTGTTGATTTGAAAAGTCATGGGAACGACAATCAAATCCAGTTCCCATTGCAGCAACGGTGAAATAAGTCGGCATTCGAGAAAGTTCAAACCGTGCAGCACGTTTCAATGTTATTTGTCGCATGCCAACCCTTCACATGATATATATACACATATACATATATATACAAATCTGCAGCCCTTGGCTAGATGAAGGCCTTACTGTTATACTGGGCATGGTATGTGTCTGACCATACTTGACTTCGCTAGTCAGTGTGGGCTGGTGAATGATGGTAATTCATGAAACTGCAAAAAAAAAGTTACGACCATATAGAGTACCAACTGTGGCTCTGTGAGTTTCCGCACATCATGCAGGGCCTGTAAAGCTAGAACATGATGAGGTTTGTATCTGAGAGATCAAGGTCTCGCATTGCCCTGTGTATTGAGTTGTGAAATAACTTTGAATCATCCACTGGTATTCAGTTCGGAGAAAGTGTGTTGCTGTTGATTGTGAAAGAGTCAACGATATTTGATGAACGCCTGGCAACAATGTCTGGTTAAATATAAATGAATTCATTGTTATTCTTGGTTCTTTCGGTAAAGTCACGTAGATAGAAAACAAAATAAAAATGAGAACATTTTATTATCTTTTTTTTAGCTTTTCATATTTTCAACGTATTATAAAAAAAAATGTATTTCAAGTTTTTTGTTTGTTTTATATCTACGTGACTTTACCGAAAGAACCAAGAATATGAATTCCTGCAGTCACGAAAGTTTTAAGTCAAAATTGAATTCATTCTGCGTAGGGTGTAGAGATGCAGTTGCCATGGTGGTGAGATGTTAACTACCTCGCCTGGTATACAGGTGGTTATGGGTTCGATCCCGACCCTGACACCTGCTGTATATTTGGAGTTTGCATGTTCTCCCCGTGGTCGTGTGGATTTTTCTTCAGGTCCTCTGGTTTTTCCTTCCACATTTATAAATATGTGTTTAGACTATTTGTCTGCTATACATTTCCACATTATAAGCCGCTTCATTGACCTATCATTTGTGACCAGGTCACTTATGAAAAAGAGCTATACAGATCAGTGGGCCTTACCTAGTAAAAAAAATAAAATAGTTTTTTTAGATGCTATACATATCAAAGCGGATTTTTTTTGTATAGCATTTGCCACGTAAACCTGGCCTGCATTTCCCCGAGGTTCTCAGTCTAAAATGATGACTTGCTACGGCGTGCTCAGAATCCGCACCGGGGAAACCAGCGGCCATTCACAAAGTGGTGGTTGCATCATTGCTCACACGTGTGCCGTGCCGGTCTTTGTGGGATAATTGTTTTTTTGACCCTTCTATCTGGCAACAAAACTGACACCTTTTTTACAAGGAGTCATGTTTACATAGACCACAATACCTGCAGTCATAATGCAAACAAAAAACATAACTGATAATGTATGCACTGTGCTTGAATTTGATTGGTCCACATCCGAAACAGCTTTCCTTAGAGCCTAATCTCACATGGGTTGGACCAGCCTGTTGGCGTCATCTGGTCAGTTTTGTTGCCAGATAGAAGGGTAAAAAACCAATTATCATATTTTTACTGGCAAATGAGGTTCCAATGGTGGTCTTTGTGGGCTCCGTGCTTAGCGGCGCTTGCCCCAAGACGGTTGTCTCCGTTGCTTAACCGGGAGTTTTTTTCCCCCCCTCCCCCCTTCCAGTGGTGGGTTTGGACATCCAGGATGAGATGGGGCGGCACGAGGTGGGGTTCATCGAGAACTCAATAAAAATCCCACTCAACGAGGGCAGCGGCTGCCGGTTTGAAGGAGTTTTCCTCATTAACAAGGTGTTCAAACGTCACATCCTACGGCAATTTAAATTTGGGCTATTTTTACATTATTATTGATGTTACGAGCCAAAGGGAAAATATATCAACATATGCTTTTTACTTGTACGCGGCATGCCTTCATCAAAGCCTCACTTGAAGAACCAATTTTAATTAATAAATATTTAACCCCTGTAGAGGATAGAAAGAGTAAGGTTATAAACAAGAGAGTACCATTGCACATTAAATAATGAGCACGTTGTGAAATATGCCTCTGCACATGAAATACTTTGTTTATTGGCCTATGAAGTTGTTTAACAGGCCTGACTGCTGACAAGAAACACTGATTATTATCGAAACCGGTCCACAGTCTGCCTACAGAAAAACAATGGCCTGGACGTCCCAAATGTCGATGGACGGAAAAGAGAGTGAATATATTTTACGTGCAGTGACAAATTTGTTGTGTTCGTCACTTGTAATTACGGTGCCTGATCGGAATGATGAGATTCACGCTTGAAAATCATCAAGCCGACCGGCATGTAAGTAATGATACAACGATGTAGCCGTTACAGCTATTACAGCCACAAACCGATTCTCGCGGTGCAGCACCGTTCGGTCCCCCGTTATCTGTAATCCTTATTTCGCAATTGACAAGGCTCACTTCACAGGCTGTCTCGTGTCTGCGATGGGCTCCCCTACGGGGGCGGGGGGTGGCGGAAATTGCAAATATTTCAGGTGGAGGGCTAGAGTGAGAATGAAAGTGCAGCCTGCGAATGACTTATTTTTTTTGCGATCAATATACAGTACGGCCTTATTTTCTCTCTTTTTTTTTTAAACGTCGGCAAAACGCGTGTCTAATGCTTGCAGGTCCCGGGCAATTTCCACGTGTCGACGCACAGCGCGCTCATGCAGCCAGAGAAGCCGGACATGACGCACACGATCCACAAGCTCACCTTCGGAGAGAAGATTTATGTAAGCACGAGAAGGCAGAGAGGTTATCTCTGTGCACACAGGCTGCATCGCTGCTGCCGCCGCTGCCGCCGCTGCCGCCGAGAAGGACTGATGTTGGAACGCCACGGGAAGTGCGGCTGTTTGAATCGCAAGGGTCAATTTGTGACTTGGGGGTGGAGCGGTGGCCAGCGGTGGTGTCGTCAACCCATTGGGGGTTGGAGAGGGACCTGAGCACAAATTATAACAAAAATTATATTCAAGTATTTTCGGAGCGGCCCCCCACCCCCTTTCAGTTTCTAAGCTCCTAGTGAGATGAGAGAAGAGATTGTGGACAGCAGGAAGAGATTTAGTGGAGATGAGAGAAGAGATTGTGGACAGCAGGAAGAGATTTAGTGAGATGACAGAAGAGGGCTGCAGGCAAAATATAAATTCTTGAGAAATTTTGATTTTTATGTTTATCAGGATCTGAATTCGAGCTGACATTTGGTGCATCTTTTTTTCTAAATTTGGGGGCCCCCTTCAGCTGCTTGGGGCCTCAAGCTTCCGCTTACTTTGCTGTTGCCTAGCGCCATAGCCGGCGGTGGCACAGTGGTTAGTGCACTGCTGTATGAACCCAGCCACCTCCGTTCGATTCCCAGCCGCTGCGAGCATTAGCGGCAAGTGATATCTGAACCAATCGTCCCGGGTGCCTTTTTCACCGACCTACACTGACCGGCACGGTGAAGCATGATCATACTACCTTCATGACGTATATAGTGCGGAGATATCTTTACGAAGCAGCGGGTTGTCAGAGGGCTGCACATTTCTTCGTGATTTGCAAAAAAAAACGCTTGCAAATTAAACATTGTTGGGTTCTGCGCATCGCATTCTTGCGTAATGTTTGGTGTTTTTCTTGTTGCTTTACTTTGTTTTTAAAGGGAGCAAACATTCAGGGTGCATTCAACGCTTTAAAGAACACCGATCGCATCGAATCAAACCGTGAGTTTTATTGTACACGGCGTTCCCATTCTGACGCGCATTCACATTCTTCGAATTTACTGAGTATTACGTTCAATTTCCTTGGCATACACACAAGCAAATGAAAACAATTAAGTACATTATAGAGACACTACGAATCCAAATGATCATTTAAGTAATATATGGGTAATTATACACTAACGGAATAAAAAAGGGCAAGTGCGTAAGAACATTTAGAAACTGATGAGTGATGCCTCTGTGAAATTATCCGATTTTCAGAAATTGCACGCCATGCTGTGGTTCCATTTCTGTACAATTGACATTTAACCAAATGTAAACGTGAAAAATATTCAAATTTATCTTTCTGGAAGCTCGAGTTGTGACTGTGCACTCGCCAGCGATTTCCATGAATTGTCACGATTTGAAGCACGGCTCGTCTCTCTAACATCCCATATACCACGGTGGCGAGAGGGGCGCCGTGGTGCTGTGATGTTAGATACCTCGCCTGGTATGCAGGAGGTCGTAGGTTTTATTTAGACCCAGACTCCTGCTGTATATTTGGAGTTTGCATGTTCTCGCCGTGGTCACGTGGATTTTTCTGCAGGCCCTCTGATTTTTCCCCTCCACATTTAGAAACACACGTTGAGAGTATTTGCCTGCGATAAAATTCCACGTCACAGGCCACTAAGTTGGGCTATCATTTGTGGCCAGGTCTACTTCTGAAAAAGAGCTATATAGCTCAGTGGGCCATACCTGGTAAAATAAAAAATAGTGTAGTTTAAGTTGAATTAATATAAACCCACATAGAATGTGGGTATCCGACTCGCCAGCATTGCCCACCATGAAATGTAACCGTCAGTCACCTTTACGGACTGATTCAGGATAAACGATGAGCTGTAGCACTTGTTTTTCTTGTTTTTCTTCACAGCCCTCTCCTCCTACGATTACATCATCAAGATTGTGCCGACGGTCTATGAAGACGTTAAAGGACACCAACAACTCTCTTACCAGTACACCGCAGGGTTCAAGGTGAGTTGAAGGAGCTTCTTGGATGGCAGTGTACCATGCCAATCATTGTCAACCATGGTCAATGCGCTGCTGGATGAAGGCCAGAGGTCGCAAACGGGTTTTGATTCCTTACCCGTACCCGTACCCGGCCGCACCAGGGTCACAAATGGGTACCTGTACCCGTACACAGCCGGGTACGAGTACCCGACCCGAAATGAGTGACAAACGGTTATTCACCAGTGACTCACGGCCTACCCGTACCTGTACCCGGCCGCACCAGGGTCGCAAACGGGTACTCGTACCCGGCCGTACCCGTACCCTACCCCCGTACCCAGCCGGGTACGGGTATCGGGTACCTGATTGCGACCTCTGGGATGAAGCCATATTGCAGGCGCGGGTGGGTTGATTCTAGGAACTTGAATTGTGAGAAGAGACAAGACGTTGGGAAATGAGTGACAAACGGTGACTCACCAGTGACTCACGGTCTACCCGTACCCATACCCGGCCGCACCAGGGTCGCAAACGGCTACCCGTACCCGGCCGCGTACGGGTAGCCGGGTATCGGGTAGGGTACGGGTATCGGGTACCCGGTTGCGACCTCTGATGAAGGCCTCCCCAAGCCACCCCCGCCTCTTAGGATCCTGTGATGTAAGAATCCACTTGGCACCTGCTTGCACGCCAGCTGATTTTCATGGCTCCCACCTCCTCGGTGGGTATCCTCTAGGATGCGCGTTCCGTTCCTTGGTATAGTGTCACAAAAAAGTGTAGCAATGGTTAATGATAGGCTGCTAAAGAGTAAAATACACTACCTCAAGTGAGATTTCAAAATGAGAACCACTTGAGTTGTTTACAAAAAAAAACCCTTTCAATTTTGTAAGGATTGTTATCTCAGTGCCACGTCGTGAGATGAAGTGGCCGGTTGTAACTCTTCCAGGGCTGATATAGAGAATGTCCCATCGCAGAACGTCTTCCGAAATCTCTACACGTGACCCCTTTATCAAAATCGAGGTGTCGTACTTTCCCGTGCGCCCCGCTGTAGAGATATTTGTTACGTGGTTGCCGAAACAAATTTTTTTAAATTCCCACAGCGGAAATTGTTAACCAAGGGAAGTAAAAAAGTTATTTAATATAATTGTTTTTTTTTGTACAGTCATTGGTGGCCGGGGTGAGAATCTGAACCCGCTGCTACTTGGGAGAACCCGGTTGAATCACAGATGCTCACGGTGTTTAGACCCAGGTCTCAGCGGCACACCTTTGTCTTACGTTTTCAATTTAAATAAAAAATAATAATCTTTACGTGCATCGTATGTGGTTTATAACTGATGTGGCGACTGTGAATCGGTGTATTAGATGTGGTTAAAAATGTTCATAGCAAGGTGTTAGAATAATACACAGACATGTAGCAGCTTGTTTTTAAAAACATAGTTTCCCCCCTCATTCATACAGGGTGGCCCAAGAATGAGTTAATCCACAATAAGTGTACATGGTTATTTACAGGACATATATATTTTTTATTCTTAATATAAAAACGACAATAGGTATTTGCATCAACATCATAAGCATGTGTTAGTCCAAAAGTCGAGGCACATTTTTTCAGACAGAGATGATGAGCAAGGCCCTCGAGTTCCTCCGTGATTTTTCAGCCACTGCTGCCTACTCCAGCTTGGGGCTCTTCCAGCTTGAAATCAAACTACAACTAAACCATTTTTATTTTACCAGGTAAGGCCCACTGAGGTGTGTAGCTTTTTTTCAATAGCGACCAGGCCATAAATGATAGCTGAACGGAGTAGCATATCAAGCGGAAATTGATCGCAGTCAAATAATCTAAACGCATGTTTATAAATGTGAAGGGGAAAAACCGGAGGATTCGTAGAAAAGTCCAAGAGACCACGGGGAGAATATGCAAACTCCAAATATACAGACGTTGGGATCGAACCCACGACCTCCTTTATACCAGGCGAGATAGTTAACATCTCGCTACCGTGTCACCATTTTTTTGTTAACACAGAAATCAAATGTCTGTTCATTTTTCAGATTGTTTGCCTTCGTTCTTTACACATTTTTTTTTCATCTTTGCCCGGAAATGTAAATGAAAGCTAAATAAAGGACAATTACTGAATTATTATTATTATTAAAGTATTTTTTTAAATTAATTAGATGTATACTAAAATAGTTGGAAAATAAGCCTGGCTGTGGCACGGTGTTAATTTTATTGGCTGCTCACATTCGCCGTGTTTTTTTGTTTACGCCCCCTATGTAAATATATCAGCTATATAATTTAATATAGCACCAATAAACTTTTGCACATTCTATTTTAGTCACTGCAGAAAAAAAAAGATGAGGCTCAACGTTCACTTCCTGCACGATGTGGGTTATAATTGCGCTCAGTAAATACATTGATTTGATTATCAACATGTGCAATCATTAACTTCCACGCCAGCAAAGGGCCCACATTTTCATTTTCCTCGCTGTTCAACGTTGCATTTATCATGAAGGGCCACCCCTAATGTCCCGGTTTAGTTTAGTTGTCCTCTGTAAAGTGTCGCTGTCAAATGTGTAATAGCTAACGGAACTGAATCGAAGCTAAGTTGTGCAGGAGGGCGTGAAAGCAATTTGCTAATTGATGGCAGCAGCAGCAGGTTTGTTTGTGTAACTGGGACAAATTCACGGCACCCTCTCTTGAGAAAAAAAACCCCCCAGGTACAGTGCATGGTGGCCCAGTGAGCTGACGGCTCGGAGAGACTGGATACGATACGCAGCGGATCTGTTGACAAAGTCAGTCTCTGTTTACACACAGGCACCACTCGGCTTTAAAAATGTCCATTTCCTTCCGGTTCGGCACGGCTGGTGTTTCATGTGGCTTTAAAAGGATCACAGTTGTCTTTTAATCTCCAGCTGGGGGGGTGGGGGGCAGGGGGGGGGTTGGGAGGAATGGGATGGGATATTGGCCAGGAGGAAGAGAAGGGGGTGGTTGGATCGGTGGGTGTGTGTGTGGTGTTAGGTTCAGGCAGAGGGAGAGGTGATGTTCAGTGGGGTGATTGAATGGAGGTTATGGGAGCCACCAGTTGGGGGTGGTGGGGGCGGGGGTGCGGGGGGGGGGCATTTTCCTGATTGGATTTCACGCGGCGCAGGCCGCGAATTTGGCTCTCGATGCTCATCAGCAGATAGCACCTGCCAAGGCGCTGGCCACTTTGATGCAAGGCAGTCGGTGTGGAACTCGGCCACTTGACTGGGGATGTGAATTGGCTTACTTGTGAAAACGACCAAGCGCTTTGTTGCCAGATGGGACATTCGTCCAGGAAGTGTGTGTCCCCTTTTTTTTTTGTAAACAGCCGCAGGCCATCAAGAGAAATGTCCCTGCGGTGTGATATTAACTGGGACCTGAAAGGTTCCACAATACGTGCAGTGTGCATCACTGCCTAAATCCTTAGCCAAAATGTCAACGAGTTTTAGAGGAATTACACTTAGCATCTGCAAACAAAGGAGGTAAGCATCGAGCTACGTGCGTATATGAGTCATCCCAATGTTGCTGCCTTTGTTCGTAAAGATTAGTTGGGATTGAAAGTTATTTTGAAAAAAATCTACAATTGTCTTCGAGTGTAGGCATGTCTGCTTCATTGTCACATTGCGTGTTCTCCCTTGTGCCTCAAAAACAAATCTAATTACCAACATATATCCTGCTCGTTATTAAGGAAGGGAGCTAAAACTGCTCAAAGTGGCTTTGCGGGGAATGTCAAAAGGAACGAGAGGTATTGAAACGAAGGATCAATTTATTTTTGCCGAGGTGGCATTTGCCCACCGGAAAGAATTCCAATTATCGTTATGATGTAAGGATATATTTAAATCTATTAATCTGCTTAGCCCATAAGGGGATTAAGCTGAGCTTTTTTCTTGGTGCCATTCCGGCCACTGTTTAATGGCGGCATCGTTTACGCACTTCCGCGCCATTCTCGTAAGCACCCTCGCACATGTGCACGTGTGTCTCGTGCCATCCTGGGGTGGTGTCATCGCGCGTTTGCGTGCGCGTGTGTGCGTGCGCCTGTGTGTGTGCACGTGTGTGTGTGTGTGCACGTGTGTGTGTGTACGTGTGTGTGTGTGCGTATGTATGTTGAGCTTTTTTCACACCGTACGTAGCCAATGTGTGCTCATCGGAGGTGCGGGGGGCCTGTGCCGGCATTGACTTGTATCCATGTGCTGAGCGGTGGCACGGTGGTTGGTGCACAACGGTTATTTTAAATTAACCAGTTCTGGCCCTCCCCTAGGTCGACTCAGCCTCAAATGAGTACCTGCTGCGGCATGTAAAACATCAGCACTGGGGAGACAAAGGTGGCCGTGCGTGTTGCTGGCCAGGCCACCTCGTACGCCCACGGCGGCCTTTCTTAGGCGCTTGCTAACGGCACTCGCCTTACTTGTTGTGGCTTTGTGCGTCCACCCCTGTCCACCCCACGCGTGGTCAGGAGTACATGGCATACAGCCACACGGGGCGCATCATCCCGGCCATCTGGTTCCGCTACGACCTGAGCCCCATCACTGTGAAGCACGTGGAGAGGAGGCAGCCCGTGTACCGCTTCATCACCACGGTGAGTGAGCGCCGGCACCACCAGTGTTGCTCCAAAATGGTCGGATTTTTTTTTTTATTCGCGCACGAAGGACAAAGATCTCTCGCATATGCATGCGATGTCAGCGAGCGCATAGGAAAGGCGCTGCACCCCAGTGCTAATGGTAACACACCCCACACGAGTCACTAACTCATGGCTGAGTAAATCTAGTGCCAGTCACAGTATGGGCTCCAACACCGCTTGCTGACTGATGTTAGCCATGGTTGTAAATCGAAACTTAGGTCACTGGCTGTGCTAACCAGACTGCGTCAACGCTCATCAGAAGCACACATGCACACACACACATTGTCATGTATATATTGACACATCCATAGACATGTAAATCGGCAGTCTCATGCACACAATGGAGGATGAGCGATCTACCAACTCTGCATCTAAAATCATTGAGTCCAGGGCAGCAACGTTCGCGTGCCCAAAAATTCGTTCTCCGGTTTTATTGTTGAAAATTAATTAGGTATCAAGGGAGTCGGTGGGGGGGGGGTGGGGGGGTGGAAGTGGTGGTGGGGGAGGGGAGGATTTGTCCAGCTCAGAGATTGACTTGGGTGACTCACAGTTGCAAATTTTTTTTTTATCCGGGTCAGCAGGGGTTAATTCCCACTGTCCTCGTGAATCATACACAGCATTCGGAGCACGCCGCCGGCTCTTTAGACGGGAACGGGGGCGACACATCTCGTCCGACTCGCCCCACGGACGCGATCGCCCTCTCCTGAGGACTGCGGCCTCGGAGGAGAGTTTGTCCCCTGCTAATCCCGGCCCCAATGCCACCATCTGTGGTCACCTGGCTCTAAACCTTGTGTGGTTACCTATCCCAGCCCCGGCCAGGTTTGTTGGCTTGAAGGATGCCAATAAGGTCAGGCTGCAGGAAGGTATGCCCTCCGTGGCCGTGGCCTCTGGAAAAAAGACAAGTTGCCGTGAGTGGAAGGGGATCTAAAACATGCACGTTTGGGGAAATGTGTCGTGGCTCCGGCCATCTGCACAGGCTGTGGCGACTTTTTAAAATTAAATGCCACGAGCTGAGCTGTCACATCCTATTCTCACTTCCACTCACTTTGTGGCATCTGACGCCTTCGGTACAGAGAGCATTGGGTTCTTGACACGTGAACAGGTGTTCACATGTCAATTCTGTCGGGACGCTGATACTGAAACAGCAGCTGAACAGTGGCAAGAGTGTGTCGGTGAGCGTTGTTTCATGAATATATTCTTTGACGGTATATGTTGGTATATTAGAATACCGAATAACATTCTTATTTGCACTGAAGATGTACATCAGGGTGCTGGTGTACACAATAACGTTCAGTCACCGTTGGGAAAGCAGTGTACAGGCAATAGCCTCCATCTGCCTGTATCCCCATAACGCAGCCGAACTTCTCTTTTGTCCTGCGGAGAAAATTTAATTTCGCAAAATTGGTACCTTAAGTGAAAATTATACCGTGTTTTACCCCTCCATTTTGATCGCCGAAAAACGATTTAAGTGCGGCTCTCTGCACCGTTCGCGCTCTCGTTTCCTCCGACACCATAAAAAAACGCGCACACACACAAAAGCCACCGTTCACCATCAACAAATGGGAATGGCGTGCTGTGGATGCCACCATTTGGCAACACTGCCAGTGACATTTCTGTGCTTGAATTTCCGGCGCCGGCAAAAGCTTTGGCGATAAACCCACCGATCGAATGTGTGGCGCCCGTTGCCAAAAGCTCTTTGTTTAAGCGAGAGCGCACCTGCTTCACGCACTGCTGTGATAAACATGCTTGGGTGTGAGACGGCGGTGTGGATTAGCACAGTCAGGCACTTTAAGGTGCTGGAAGGGTGCCGGGGAGATGCTGGGCGGGTTTATGGGACGTGTGGGGAAAGGAGCAGGTGGTGGTGCTCGTAGTGATGGTGCTGCTGGTGGTATTGGTTATGGTGGTGGTGGTGCGGTGCTGGTGGTGGTTGTCGTGCCGGTGGTGCAGCTGCTGGTTGTAGTAGTGGTGCTGATTGTTGCTGCTGGTAGAGGTAGTTGTGGTGCTGGTGTTTGTGGTGCTTGAGGTGGTGTTGGTGCTGCTGGTGGTGGTGGTAGTGTGCGGAGCGGAGTGGTAGGGGCTAGCACGCTGCACCATCAACCCGGTGACCCGAGTTGGATTCCCGTTGAATCGGTCGCATGTTGCTGGCCGCCCCCACCCCCTCGTGTGCCGTGACGGTCTTCTTCATAGGTGCTTGCTCACAGAATTTCACTCAACAGTCTTTTAAGGCTATCCGAAAGATCTTTGTATTTTGTGGTGATGGTGGTGGTGCTGGTGGTGTTATTGTTGGTGTTGGCAATGGTGCTGCTACTGCTGCTGTTGCCGACACGACGCGGAAGCTTTGGTCGTGGGAGCCGGCACTGGGGGGGGCGGCGGCAGCGACGGGTCGGCCGCTCGGTGGCCGGGATGCTGACGGCAGTTGACGTGGGCCGCCCCCCTCCCCTCGCCACCCCCGCCTGTCGAGCGTACGCACTTCCTGTGACGGCACCACCGACTCGATTACAGGCGACCATGTCGGACCCCCCCCCCCCCCGACGTGGCCATCCGCATGCCGAACTTGATACAGACAGAGGCTGGCCCAGGGCTTCCCGGTGCTGCCCTTCTTGTCTCTGGCTTCTCCGGACTGAAACCCAATCCGGCCGCTTTGCATGGAGCACAACAACAGCAAAAAAAGAAGAAGCAAATTCCCCTCCACCCCCTCCGTGGAGGCGTTCATTGGCTCCTGTCTTCATGCGGATGTTAAAGATTCCATGACACCCTCGGGTTGGACTGGGCCGTGGCTAAATTCAGATGCCCTCTGCAAGTGTTGCATTATGTCGGGATGCGAGTACGCGGGTCGTGGGTTTGTCCGTGCGCGAGTGCGTGGATGTGTGTGGTCATGAGCGCTTATGTGAGTGTTGATTATTTGTTATCGACTACTTTATAAGCAGGCGAGAGCACGGTGAGACTTACCGTGTGCTCACCCAGGGAGGACTTGGGTCAAAGAAAGCAGTCCAGTAAACGTGTGATGAAGGTCAATAGCAGTGGCATACAGAACCTTAAATGATACAAAAAGCATTAAGCATTAATGACAGTCGAACATATACTTTAAATAGAACTTTAGTTTAAGGAGAATATGGCCTGTCACCAAACCGCACTGGTCAGCGTTGTGAAGTATGGTAACGCAACCCCTTGAGCAACACATTGCAGGGAGGAGGTCTTTATCCAGACGTGGATTGACAGAAGGCTGTTAATCATACTCATTGTATTAAGTACATTTTACACACGGCATCAAGTAATGGTTAAATCACTTGCATTCATACTAACTGAAGGATTAGTCTTAATTTCCATGACATACAGTGCAAAAGAAGTGCAACATGCATGACAAGGATTGGTTATTAAATACAAGAGATGCGGTAATATTACACATCAGAAGGCACCTTCAAAGCCTGTTTGGAAATGAACTCGTGGAATATGTTGTACAGATGAAATCTTGCGTAAATTCCGTGCCATCTTTGCACGTTAAAACTATCACTGTTGGTCAAGGTCAGTCCACTGCTGGATGATGGCCTCCCAAACCACCGCCGTCTCTGATGATTCTGGCACGTAACAATCCAACCAGCACCTGTGCAATGGGGAAAAAATGAAACATTATTTACCGAAAGAACTAAGAGTATGAATCCTTGCAGTCACGAAAGCTTCAAATCTAGAATTAATACCCTCTACGGGGAGGAATTCCACCTATCTGTCCCAGCATTGAACCACTTCTTGGCCCACCTGATAACGGAGACTTGTGTTGCGTCCGAAACGTTGTGATATTATTTTTTACCTACGTGACTTTACCGAAAGAACTAAGAGTAATTAAACATTCTTGAGATGAAGCCCAGGCCTTACCTGAAGAGTTGTATACGAGTCATCGATCTTCACGAAAGTCAGACATTACATCGGCATACGAGTCATGTGAATTAGTGGATTTGCAAATGGCTTGGCTACCACCCTAGAGACGCGTCATGACCAAGCCCCACTCACTTCTCTTAACAGTTTGAAGAATGTAATTAAACTGCATATGTTATTGTCTGTGCGCTCCTCGTGCAAATGTAGTAAATTGTCTTGTATTTAAATTTCGATTTAAAGCTTTCGTGACTGCAGGGATTCATCTTATTGGTTCTTTCGGTAAAGTCACGTAGAAGGGAAATAATAAAATAATAAAAATAAAACATAATAAAATAATTCTCACGACGTTTCGGCCACAACGCATGCAGCCGTCCTCAGGTGAAGACCAGGTCTGTCGGGGAGACAGCGTCTGAATGTTGGTCAAGGTCAGTCCACTGCTAATTCAGACGCTGTCTCCCCGACAGACCTGTTCTTTACCTGAGGACGGCTGCTTGCGTTGTGGCCGAAACGTCGTGAGAGTTATTTAATTATGTTTTATTTTCATTATTTTATTATTTCCCTTCTACGTGACTTTACCGAAAGAACCAAGAAGATTGTCATGTATTATTAGCATTCGTGAAGGATGATAACTAGAGCACCTGGTTTCAATCGGCATATATAGTTTGTATAATGTATAATTGTATGATAGTTTGTATAATAACTGTTCTCAAAACATTTAAAACAGTCCTGTAACATGTTTCTAGTATCCGCACATGTGAGTGTGTTTAGCCAATGGGGTCTGCATTCAGTTGATAACCCTGCATTGATTTAATGAGAGGGAGATAATTACTGAGTAAAAACTCACCAATAAAAATAAATCATTTCATGCCATGAGCAATAGTAGAATTTGTTGTAGAACAATGTGTTGATTGCCTCGTGTATTTTTAGGCACGGCGTCCTTACATTAATCTAAATTTGTTTTGTGTTACATGGGGAAAGTGGCCCCATCGGAAAAAGGGAGGAGTGTGGGTGCCCTCTATCGTTCCCCAGGGAAGGGCTGTGATGAAAATGAGAGTTTCATCACGGTTATATAATTTCGGAGCATGCGCCGTCGGAACGTGTATGTAAGGGTATTTATCATTCCGTATCAGGTTAGCTTGAAAGTAACTCGCTTGCCAATGCAACCTCCAAGGTATCGCCAAGCCTGCTGTTATGTACGCCTGTTAGTTGGGGGTAGGATGATTTGATGAACTGTTGCAATTCCGGATCTTGATTCTCTTTGGGGGGGGGGGGGGCGGGGTGACGTGAACCAATTACGTAAAACATGCAAAAAAAATTTAATTTCTAGACCCTCTTCAATCCACGCCTCTGCACGCCTGGATTTGAACCTGGCGTCTTAGCGGCTCCCGCTCACTGCTCTGACCTCAGAGCTACCTGGCCACCTCCGGCAGTGTCGCCCATTAACAGCACAGCCTGAATACAGGACAACAGTACGTTGTCAATGCAGTGTTCAGGACCACCACGACGATGGGATGCCGTCGGTCAGCACACTGGATTTGTAACTCGGACATCATCGGTTTCGAACTCCTGGCGCCGCAGTTGAAATAATGGTGCGAGTTAACCCAATTTTCCCACCTCTGTCCATCTAGCAACATTTAGTGGTTACACCCCATTGAGTCGAGTGGCAGGTCGCGTGCAGTCAGATAAAGTGTGAGTACTCCCCGCCTCTTCCAGGACATTTGGCCAACGTGGAAGAGTAGGTCAAATGCTCTGTCTGTCAATAACTCTCTCTTCGTAAAGGCTCTTCCGTGAGCAGTGACACGAGCAAGACAATGTAGGGCCCGCACCTTTGTTATCGCCTTTCTGCCAAAACGCTGCTTCTCTGTTTTCCTCGCCAGATATGCGCCATCGTGGGAGGTACCTTCACCGTGGCCGGGATAATCGATTCGGTCATCTTCACCGCCTCCGAGGCCTGGAGGAAAGTGCAGCTTGGCAAGATTCAGTGAACGTCGCCAAGCTCCGACGTGGTCCGGCCCTCCTGATGAACGCCCCTCGGACTCGTTGTTGGACTTTTATTTAATTATTAATTTGCTGGGAAGGTGGAGGGAAGTGAAATTCTGGGGTTTACTGGGTGGAGGGTAAGCGGCAAAAAAGCATTTCTGTATAAATCCCCCTGCGATGGTAGGAGTAAAAGGCTTAATTTCAATTGGCACCGTGGCCTCAAATGCACGCTGTCACACTGCAAACTTTTAAAAAAATATTTAGTTTTGGAACAATTTTAAAAACACTGCTCTGTTTTAACGTAAAGTTATTCATCTAAATGGGTGGAATACAGATACTGAACATTATTTAAATGCACTTGTTTTCAGGCCAAAGGAATGTTGGCACATTCCCCAGCGAATGTTATCAGTTTACTAAAATAGGAATTGGGAAGCACTCGCGCTTGAGTATTGCATTTTGTAAATAATAGATTAACTAAAATATCATTGGTTGCAAGCCATTTGGCTATTCCAAAATTATCTTGTTTAGAGAAGTTGGTGACTATATGTAGAGAAGTTGCCTTCTGTTGCGTCCACATCGCTTCATTTGTTTTGCAGGTTGTGCCGGGGTTTTCTCTTCTTGCATTTAGCCCGGTTTTAAAAACGTTGTGTGCAGATTTAAACAGTCATTTTAGGTGGACACATTTTAATGGCCTCTTTTCATTCAAATTTTAGCCCAAGTCAGGATGTTGGCCTGGCTAAAAAGATAGCGTGTCTACGGCAATATTCTTTTCCATGTTCATTCACCAAAGGGAGGTATTTATTTGGGAGGTGGAAGAATCTAACAGGTCACCCGTTGAAAAGTCCTGCTTTTGGATGCATGCCATATTTTTCGATTCGAATAGGCCAGCACGGATGGGGGCATTTCTTCAAAACCCAACCGGACAGTTGGCTTAGCGGCAGAGCGAGCAGTTCGCAATCAAAATTTTACGAGTTCATATCGTGCTTCGGAGTTGACTCAGCCCATCATCCCTCCGGGGTTGTTGAAGTAAGTTACCCACTTGGTGAGGGAAGCCAACAGCGGTTGTCTTATGGACAGACACATCCCCGCCATAGGATAGTGTGGAATGCCCACCACCGGCTCAGCTGTCAACAGGAAATGACGCGTGTGAATCCCCCGCAAGATGCGGTGCTTTCAATTTACCCGAATGCTTGTTTGGCGAATGACGAATGATAAACACGTGTGTCGTCACGACGCATTAAGTAGCAACAGTTCGGTGGCAAGTGACAGACGTGTGCATCGCAACAACATTGCTTTGGTAAATTCTTCACCTTCCTCGGGGTGATATCATTTGTCACCTTGACCTTCTGAGCATCTTTCAAATTGTCCGCTTTGCCGTTCGTAGGCTGATTTGAATAGGAAGATCGGATTATTTAATGGCTACTTCCGCCTCTCATGTTAGGTGAAAGGGAAATTCTCATTTATGTAGAGAAATTCAACTTCTGTTGTGGCAATCACTCTTTAATTTTACTGGCACTACTCTGCTCAAGTACAGAGAGTCTTTATTCTAAGTGATGTGTCATTTCTCGGGGATGCAGTTTCTACTGATATCAACCGGCCATGAATGTCAGATATATGTATTTTAAATATGCAATAGTTAAACACTAAAGCTGGCACCATTCAGATCCTCGGTTACAATCCAGGCTGCTGCCTGCGATTGAACCTCATGTGTAGTGAGTTGATGGTCCGGTCACCAATAACTGCACAAGCAATCTTCTTGGTTCTTTCGGTAAAGTCACGTAGAAGGGAAATAATAAAATAATACAAATTAAACATGATAAAATAATTCTCACGACGTTTTGGCCACAACGCAAGCATCCGTCCTCAGGTGAAAAACAGGTCTGTCAGATGCTGTCTTTTGGACAGACCTGTTCTTCACCTGATTACGGCTGCTTGCGTCAGCAATCTATCACATTAAATTTGGTTCTGTACTCAATTTGGCTAAATTCCCGCTGTGAGAATTAAAAATATATCTCGACTGGCATGCGACGAATCTCGCTCTCATATGCATCTAACACTTTCTAACTGCAGTTCGCATCAGTGGAAGCTTTGAGTTGGCTTTTGAAGACTTTTCGAGCAAAGCTTACACACTTTGGTGCATTTGTTTAATTTAATTTAAGCCACTGAATGTGCTTTGGTTTGAGTAAATTGTCACGATTTTCTGATGTATCTGGAAGAGCTTATTTAGTTGACATAGCGTGTTGAGGTCACATAAATAATCGTAAATTAACTCTGGAGGACATGCCTGTCTTGGGCAAGTTGTTTCATCGCTCTCCATGGGAGGCAAGCACTGATATTATGAATACTAATTGGCCTTGCTAAATATTTATCTTCTTCAGTGTGTACTAATTAACAAGGAAATTATTGGGGCCACACCTAGTGACGTAACTCTACCAATAGAAGCCATAAAAAACATTTAAACAATACCCAAGTTAAAATATGCACCAATCAAAACCATATTTACGCAGAAAGTAAATGCTCATTTTGTTTAAACAGGGTAATAAGTACAGTTTGTGGCATTAAAAGTCGACATAGATGTCACATATTTTGTTTTACACGTCTAGCAATTTATGGTTAAACCAGGAATTATTTTTATTATTATTGATTAACTCGACTTGTTGATTTAAGATATATATGGATTCCTTGCTCTGTTTGCCGAGCCGTTTATGAATGACAATTGCAGAATTCTACCTTTAACTTTGTGCAGAACTACTGGACAGTCATTGAATGTTCCGTTTATTTAATTGACATTACGACCACAAAACTGAAATTTCACATCCTGTCTGCGCAATGGGGCTGTTACTGACGCATCATGCAGGGACTGTTGCAGTAAAGACTCGTTGCAGTAAACAAGATCGTGTTCCACCCACGCACATCTCTTGCAACTAAACTTCGAATCTCTGCTAAATACACTCCACAACCTTCGTTGTTCCAAAGTTTCTGCACTAAAAGATGCGTCTTCTTCTTAGCTGTAAAGACAGCCCAGTTCGTTGACAATGAAATGTGAATCCATGTTCATGTTGTGTTTTTTTTTGTCGTTGGTGTTTTAAATGGTGTGCCTTAAGTATGTTTCCTTCAATAAAGAGTAAGTTAAGTTGTGTGTTCGGAATGAATGATCGCGCCAATATGTGCACGTGTGAAAGTCAAGGTGGACTTTTAATGGTCTTGTTTTGTCTAAATTAAGAGTGTGACAAACCAATGTTGCTTGATAAGATAAAAAAAACACAATCTGCTGATGGACTATGAACTATATATATTTGTTTTTACTTGTGGAAACATAACTGAAAATGTATGGTGCAATATGAGATTGTGCCTGAGACTAATTAACTCCCTCTTCCTGTGTCTCAGTGTGATTTCAAGCAGGCACGTTTTCGTGCCTACGTTGCCAACACACCGTTCAGCTTAGTTCTTTTGCCCGTTTTTATAAGTCAATGTCCATATCTCTGATCCATACATAACGGGAAGAGGAACGCGTGGTTTAGTGTAAAGTATGCAAGCTAAAGACGCGGCATTGACTTGAGAAAAGTAATTTGGCTTGGGCAGGACACATCACTAGAAGGGAGAACGACGGCCGGTGACCAAGACGAACGATGGAGTGACAGCCACGGGAGAGAAGTCGCCTGATAGGATGTCGTGCACATAAGACGGAGCAATTAAATCCGTTTGTGTGCAGGCAGGAGCAAGACGAGATTGTTACATCGCGAGAGAGTGATCTACTTTAAGGCAATGACTTTGGGAGGCCTTCATCCAGCAGTGGATAGATCATGACTGATGATGAAGTCAACATTGGTTTCACGACAGTGACCTCGCAGGCTTGAGAAGAAGTTCGCTCCAAGCGCTCGATTCTTCTCTGAACAAACGTGCTCCATTCACAAACTTCCTCAATGTTTTTCACCCCCCCCCCCGCTCTCCCCATGGTGCATCCCTGTGCTAATAACGTATTTCCTTTGTGGCCGAGCCACTGGGCTTATCTGTCCCGACGTCCACGGTGGCCACAGCTGCTCCGCACCGATAGAGATGTGCGCCGCGTCCGCGTGGTATCCAGCGCACGCCGAATGCGATCGCGCGGTGAGCTGCCGATCCACACGCGCACACCAGGGCACTCGCACGCGCTTTGCGGATGTCCGCCAGAAATGTCAGTCGCACAAATGTGGTTTCGAGGTAAAAAGGCGAAGGGGTGCAGCGCTGTTCATATTGCGCTCACGCCACCATCCCCAGCAAGCGTGGTGACTTAGGAAAAGTGTCCTTGGTGTGGCACGCGTCGTAAGAAGGGATGGTTCTGCCTCGATGGTCGTCATCCGTTCGGTCGCCAACAAACGTGGTGATGGCGGTCATTTATTTATTTAAAAAATGCGCTAATGAACCCGGTGAACCGAGATCCATTTCCAGCAACGGCGAACATGCGTGAGCGAGTTGTGATACGCGAACCGCTCCTGACCAGCTCTGGGAAGTTATGGTCAAACAACCCCCTGTGACTAACATAGCATGGAGAGTCCATATAATTGTGGTTGTAAAAGTGCTGCAGATTGGGATGGTGGTGTTTAATAGTCTCGGACCAAATCACCCTGAATGCGCTCAGATGTCACTGGATCGTGTACGCTAAGCCGGGATCTGGATAACATTGGCGGGCAAACATCCTGGCCCTCCCATGCGCTTTGCCAACTTCCCATCTTCCAGAAGCATACTTAACCCCCATGAAGAACATAACACGACCAGGCATTCACGTAGGGTCGGTTTAAAAAAAAATAATGAAGCGAGCGAACAAACCTTTTTGAACAACAGTTTATTATTTTACATGCGCAGTGCATCGCGTGCTTTTAATGCACGTCCCAATGCTGTGCTGCCATTGTCGAAAATTATTCACGGTCACTGGGAAGGAAATGCGACATGGTTAAACATGCCACTGAATCCTCCTGGGCACCAAAGCTGAAATTACATGTGGCCTTGCGGTAATTACATGCCTGGCTCCTGTAAAAATTTGGATGAGGTCGGACAGAAGGTCATGGTGAAAGGCCGATGTGCACAAGGCTGTGGCGTTAATACGTCGAGTTAGTGGCTTATTGTTACATGTTTTTCTCTATTTTATTTTATTTGAAGGTTTTCATAATTTTGTTCGCCACTCAATCTTCCACCTTTTTTTCCCCCACCCAAGGAGGGGGATGTGTGCTTGAAATGCAAAAAACGTTTACAGTTAGCTTCCGGAGGTGTCATTGCTGCTTAGAAACAAGCCTGGCGAACCATCAACATGATTACATACGACACAATAAAAATAGAAAAGTAAATAACGTCCTTGTAACGCAGGAAAACCTTGTCGGGTCGCAATATTTTTGTTTGTTTGTTTTTTTAACGAGGGTCCTGCTGCATTGTGATGTTTGCCCAATCCCACGAATGAAGAACGTTGGCTTCATGCGAGACGAAACCCGGAGGAACACGGAAAAAAACCCACCGAGCATACGAGGAGGGCGACACTCGCTACTGGCAACTCCCCGAGCACCTCACAACGAACTGCGCGTTAACCACATCCGGCAGGCCCCGATGGTCATCCGTTGAAGTACGAACCAGAGCCACAGCTCATCAGAATCTTCACGTATACTGGAGGAGTCCGATGAGTCATCAAGCTATTTGTTCGCAGATGTCCATGGTAGGGGGTGGGTCAGAAAGTGACAACAGCAAGCAATACAACACGATAGGACATCTGACAGGATGGGTCACATTGATCTGGATTTGGCCAAAGGAAACCTGGCAACCAACACACGTGGTTAATGACTACGTTCTCCCCTGAAAATATAATTTTGGCAACAAAAATGTAGCATCGTTAAATACAATATTTTCTCATACGTAAAAAAAATTCTCGAAATTCGGTGCCGTTTATTCTTGTTTAATATATAAATGAAATGCACGCAGTTTTAAGACGAATTGTGAATGCGCACTCTACTCTTGCTAATACCGTCAAACAGAAATTGTGTTTCAAGAGTTTGCTGCTGTGGGAAGTGTTGACCGTACATCGTACTTCCCCAAGCGCGTGTTTTCCTAACGGGTTTTGTGGTCAAATAAAAATAAAACAACAAGACCGTTGCCCTGGGATTCCATGTGCTGTGTTTGCTGTAAAAAAATAAACTAAGCAGTTTTCCTTTAGTTACTCTTAGCTATTGGAATGCATTTCTCACCGCGTTAAACGGTCACTGAAATACCTCGCCTCTGACAAACCCACTCGTTCGCTCTAAATGTGCCCTGGAGGTGTAAATGTGTTCGTATTTGGATGAGCGATCACCTGGGGGTGGGGGGGAGGGGGGCTTGATTGTGGCCATGGGTCATGCGACGCGTGACACGGAGCTGGCGGCGCAGTCCCCTTGGACTGGCGGCCCAGCCGCAGCACCGTAGGTTCGCGGTTCGAATCCTGCGGCCGCCCCCCTGATTGATTAATGCTGCGTCGTGTAATGACTACGAAATAATACACGTCATCTACTTTACAGTCTGATGTTAAAATCATCCCTGGGTGCTATTTGCAATTGAGGGCCGTTGCGTGCCGGCGTTAGGGTCAAAACTTGACAATGATACACAGCAAGTTGCTCATTTGGAATATGCTTGGCAATCTGCTTGGCCAGGACCACCCAGGAAACGTGTCGCGAGGGTTTGTCTGGGTTAACAAGTGCAACGATTACTCAATTCGAACGCTCGGCTGATTTTCCCTGGGTTCTCCTGTTTCCCCCATCACACGAAGACAAACAAGCACTCATTGATAGAATCGGCCAAACATCCTAATGATGT